AATACGACATCGTCTACAAGCCCGGGCTACACAACAAAGCAGACGCGTTGAGCCGCCCCGGTCATGTAGCAGGCATCCAGCTCGACGGGATGAACCCTCTGCTCAAGGGTCTATTCCAACATGGGTACTCCGTGGACGCAGAAATCGCTACAGCAGAGCCCAAGAAGTTGTTACAGTGGGAGAAAGACTTATCTGTAAGGAAGGGTTCAGGAAAGATTTGGGTACCGAATTACGCCCCGCTATGGCAGATCCTATTGGAGGAGTTTCACGACGTACCTTACGCGGGACATTTCGGGAGCAACAAGACGCTAGCAGGGATAGCGAAGTATTACTACTGGCCCGGGATGGCAGCAGACGTGCAGCAGTTCGTCACCTCTTGCGACACGTGCCAGCGGATGAAGAGTAACAAGCAGAAAAAAGCAGGGTTACTTCAGCCTCCACCTGTACCGGAGCAGCCATGGCAGGTCGTTAGCCTCGAATTCATCACAAGACTTCCTTCGACCTCACGGGGGCACGATTCCGTCCTCGTAGTTATCGATAAGTTCTCCAAAATGGGTCACTTCATACCGACCAACGCCACAGCTACAGCTGAAGCAACTGCTCGCCTCTTCTTTGACCGCATCATCACCATCCACGGCATCCCCGCTACACTCATCTCAGACAGAAGACCCAAAATTCACCAGTAAGTTCTGGAAGGAGCTCATGGACTGTTGGGGACAAAGCTTGCAATGTCTTCAGCATACCACCCCCAGACTGACGGACAGACAGAGCGACTCAATCAAGTGGTTGGACAGTTACTACGCACAGCTTGCAAGGACGACGTCAGCCACTAGGACACACAGTTACCGACCCTAGAGTTCGCTTACAACAACGCATCACATGCGGCCACAAGGAAAACTCTTTTCTTCCTGTGTTACGGACGGGAACCACTCACACCACAGCAGCCAACCACACCGTCACACATCCAAGCCGCACATGACTTCGTCACCACCATGCAGCAGCTATGGGAGAAGACTCAGCGACGACTCACCACGATGCAGACCTCCCAGAAGCAGTATGCCGATCGTCAGCGACGTGATCAGTCAGTAGCAGTCGGAGATCAGGTGCTTCTCGACACGTGCAACTTGAACCTGTCTCACCTCCCATCCAAACTCCGGCCTCGCTTCTGTGGTCCTTTTCTCGTTGAGGCACAGATGACACCAGTTACATTTCGCTTGCACTTACCAGATACATGGAAGCTTCACAACGCTTTCCATGTTCAGCTACTGAAGCCCTAGAAGGACCCCAACCAACAGTTCCAGGGACGGCAGCTACCGCCACCACCACCGGTTCTCGTACAGGATGAACCAGAGTACGAAGTGGAGCGCGTTCTCACTCATCGACGCCGCGGCGGCAAGACCCTCGAGTTCCTGATACGCTGGAAGGGATACGACCCCACTGAGGATAGTTGGGTTGCAGAAGCTGATATGGGCAATGCACGCCGTGCTCTCAAGGACTATCTTGTCAAGAAGGGTGTATCTCACGCCACCCAGCTTTGAGGGGGGGACGTGTGAGAGTACGATGGCTTATGCCAGCTATGCTAGCTTGCCTTTACTTTATTATGCTATTTCTAGCATAGGATAATTAAGTAATTATCCTATGCTAGAAAATCAAGTAATTCATGCATGCATATAATTATCCTATGCTAGAAATAGCATATTAAAGTAAAGGCAAGCTAGCATAGCTGGCATAAGCCATCGTACTCTCACACGTCCCCCCTTCAAAGCCGGGTTGCGTGAGATACACCCTGCTTGACAAGATAGTCCTTGAGAGCACGGCGTGCGTTGCCCATATCAGCTTCTGCAACCCAACTGTCCTCAGTGGGGTCGTATCCCTTCCAGCGTATCAGGAACTCGAGGGTCTTGCCGCCGCGGCGCCGATGAGAGAGAATGTGCTCCACTTCGTACTCTGGTTAATCCTGTACGAGAACAGGTGGTGGTGGCGGTAGCTGCCGTCCCTGGAACTGTTGGTTGGGGTCCTTCTAGGGCTTCAATAGCTGAACATGGAGAGCGTTGTGAAGCTTCCATGTATCTGGTAAGTGCAAGCGAAATGTAACTGGTGTCATCTGTGCCTCAACGAGAAAAGGACCACAGAAGCGAGGCCGGAGTTTGGATGGGAGGTGGGACAGGTTCAAGTTGCGCGTGTCAAGAAGCACCTGATCTCTTACTGCTACTGAGTGATCACGTCGCTGATGATCGGCATACTGATTCTGGGAGGTCTACATCGTGGTGACTCGTTGCTGAGTCTTCTCCCATAGCTGCTGCATGGTGGTAACGAAGTCATGTACGGCTTGGACGTGTGTTGGTGTGGTTGGCTGCTGTGGTGTAAGTGGTTCCCGCCCGTAACACAGGAAGAAAAGAGTTTTCCCTGTGGCCGCATGTGATGCGTTGTTGTAAGCAAATTCTAGGGTCGGTAACTGTGTGCCCTAGTGGCTGATGTCGTCCTTGCAAGCTGTGCGCAGTAACTGTTCATCCACTTGATTGAGTCGATCTGTCTGTCCGTCAGTCTGGGGGTGGTATGCTGAAGACATTGCAAGCTTAGTCCCCAACAGTCCCATGAGCTCCTTCCAGAACTTACTGGTGAATTTGGGGTCTCTGTCTGAGATGAGTGTAGCGGGGATGCCGTGGCTGGTGATGATGCGGTCGAAAAAGAGGCGAGCAGTTGCTTCAGCTGTAGCCGTGGCGTTGGTTGGGATAGAGTGACCCATTTTGGAGAACTTGTCAATCACCACGAGTATAGCATCATGCCTTCGTCAGGTCGAAGGAAGCCCCGTGATGAAGTCGAGGCTAACGTCTTGCCATGGCTGCTCCGGTACGGGTAGAGGCTGAAGTAACCCTGCTTTTTTCTGCTTGCTGCTCTTTATCCGCTGGCATGTGTCGCATGAGATGACAAGCTGCTGCACGTCTGCTGCCATCCCGGGCCAGTAGTAAAACTTTGCTATCCCTGCTAGCGTCTTGTTGCTCCCAAAATGTCATGCGTAAGGTACGTCGTGAAACTCCTCCAATAGGATCTGCCGTAGCGGGGGCGTAATTCGGTACCCAAATCTTTCCTGAACCCTTCCTTAAAGCTAAGTCTTTCTCCCACTGTAACAGCTTCTTGGTCTGTGCTGTAGCGATCTCTGCGTCCACGGAGTACCCACGTTGGAATAGACCCTTGAGCAGAGGGTTCATCCCGTCGAGCTGGATGCCTGCTACATGACCGGGGCGGCTCAACGCGTCTGCTTTATTGTGTAGCCCGGGCTTGTAGACGATGTCGTAGTGGAAGTGAGTTTCCTGTATCCGTCCAGCTTCGCAGCTCCACTCGTTTCCCGTTGTTGTAGATGCACACCTTCCTGTTGACCCAGTCGATCTCGGGGTTGAACCGCTTCCAGAAATCTCGCCCTAAGATGAAGTCTAAACCCTTGATGTTCGTGATCGGCAACGTCGGCTTCCACCTTAGTGCCCCTATGTGCAGCTGCAGTGATGCTTCTCCGTGGATGGGAATTTTCGTACCGTCCACCATCGTTGCCGTGAACTTGGTCTCCTCCGAAGATTCTCCAATTTTCTCCAACGTCCCGCGGTTGCACACCGAGTGGGACGCACCATTGTCTACCAGTGCCTGGAGGCGTTGCTCGTTGCAGATCACATCGAGTAGTAGTGGTCGTTGCTACTCCGAGTAACCGTAGATGGTCTCGCTTCTAGGATCGTAGGGTACGTCGAATAGATCATCCCTCGGTTCTGCGCTCGAAGCTGTTGACTCCATTTCAGATTTCAACTGAGTTGGGTTAGAAGGATTTATCCGAGGCCAATTCAGCTTTGTCTTGGTCTGGAACCTTCCCTTAAGTCTTTGCAGCTGTGTAGGCTTCACCTGTGGGCAATGGGGAGACTTAACACCTTGCTGCGGGGAGAGAATATTGACTCCTTGGAACGCACGACCCTTTTCAACGCTCCCGAGTGGTTTGCCCAACTTCTCAGGTACCTGAATAATGTCTGAAGGCTTTTTCTTGGCCTCGAAATCCCCCCTGAAATTTTTAAAGGCTTGAAAACCTCGAGAGGAAATATTCTTACTCTCGGTGGTGTTCGGCTGGAGTTTCCTGTCAAACTCTTATGCTATAGTCTGTGTAGGCTGTAGTGGGGTAGACTATATGGGGTACAACACTTCTAGGTTTTCCTACTTGTACCCACCTGTTTGCTAGTTCATTCATTCCTCATTTTCACATGGTATAGAGCAGGTTCCCTAGTGGGAATGCTTCCTTGGGCCCACCACTGAAATTTTCCTCTCTGACCGGAGCGCCAGTCGCTCCTGCCCGAGGCGCGCCTTTTTCGCCGCCCTTTCCAGGCCCCTAGTGGCCCCTAGCAGCCTCGTCGCCGCCCTCCACGCGGCCCCATTGCCGCCCCTAGCGGCCCCGTCGCCGCCTCTCACCCTACGCGGCCCCGTCGCTGCCCCTACGCGGCCCCGTCGCCGCCCCTACGTGGCCCCGTCGCCGCCCCTAGCGGCCCCGTCGCCGCCTCCCACCCTACGCGGCCCCGTCACTGTCCCTAAGCGGCCCCGCTGCCGCTCCTAAGCGGCCTCGTTGCCGCCCCTAAGAGGCCCCGACGCCGCCTCTACGCGGCCCTGTCGCCGCCCCTAGCGGCCCCAACGCCGCCTCTACCCAGAAGCCCAACAGCAGAGCCGCCGAGCCGCCCAGCAGCAGAGCCGCCGAGCCGCCCAGCAGCCGAGCCGCCTAGCCACTGAGCCGCCCGACAGCCGAGCCGCCCAGCAGCCGAGCCGCCGAGCCGCCCAGCAGCCGAACCGCCGAGCCGCCCGGCCGCCGAGCCGCCTAGCAGCCGAGCCGCCGAGCCGCCCGACAGCCGAGCCGCCTAGCAGCCGAGCCGCTGAGCTGCCGAGCCGCCCTGCCGTCGAGCCGGTACCAGTCCTACCAGCGCGCCCCGGCCCTACTTACACGGACTGGTGAGCTCACTCCTTGCTAGACCTCTGAAGTCATGGCTACCCCCAGTGTTCTTACCTTTCACACTGAGGGTCGTGCTGTTGACTTTGAGGTCTGGGTCGATGACCTCCAGCTGATCCTCCAGTGCGATAGGGTAGACGGCCTCTCTCTGTTCGACCTCACCTCTGGTGCCTCCCCTGCCCTGCCTACTACTGCTGACAGCACTGTTCGCTCACAGTGGGCAACACGCGATGCTGCTGCCCGTCTTGCTGTGCGTCGCCACTTACCGACCCATGAGCGTGCACACTTTAGCCAGTACAAGAGTGCTCACACATTGTACGACGCTGTAGTTGCACGCTACTCTTCCCCTGCCAGTGCTGCACTGAGCCGCCTCATGCTACCGTACCTCGTCCGTGACCTTGCTGCCTTTCCCACAGTCGCTGACATCACGCACCTCCGCACTAGTGACACTCGCTACCGCGCTGCGCTTCCTGCTGAGTTCTGCGCCAAGAACCCCCCCCCCCATGTACATCACCCTCTACTACATAGTCACCCGGCTCTCTGACTCTCTTCGCTTAGTCAGGGACCACTTCCTCTCAGTTTGCCCCACCACTCTCACCGTTGACCTCCTCGAGGAGCGCCTCCTAGCAGCAGAGAAGAGCATAGTAGATAAAGGAGCCTCTCGTGGTGACCCTCGCACCCCCGTCTTTGAGGGGTGTTCCCCCTCCCCCCTCTTGCCCTCTGTTGCTTCTGCTGCTGCTGCCGACCTCGTTGGTTTCTACGGGGTCGGCGCTGCGTCTGCCCCTAGCGGGAGGCACCGCACCGGCAAAGGCAAGGGGGGCAAGGGAGCTGGAGGGGCTAGCGGGGGCGGTGGAGGTGGTGGTGGAGGCAGTGGAGGGGGTGGGGGTGGTGGTGGGAGTGGTGGCGGGGGTGGCGGCGGCGTTGGCAGCAGTGGAGACGGAGGAGGCGGCGGTGGTGGCGGAGGGAGCGGAGGTGGCGGAGGTGGCGGAGGCGGCGGAGGCGCCGGCGGCGCCGGCGGTGGTGGAGCTGCTCGCGACTCTACGCAGAGGAGTGGGTCCGGTGGTGGTCCGCGCCAGTAGCAGCGGCGCAGTCGTGAGACCCTGTCCCCTCAGCAGCTTCGTGACTGGTACGCTGCGCGTCAGCGCGGTGGGGGTACTGGTCCATGCACTTACCTTCTCCGTACCGGCGACCGTGCTGGTGAGCAGTGCGGGGACCCGCACTCCACCCAGCGTTCGGCCACCTGACGGACGCGTGGCGTCACCAGTTCCGTGAGGCGTCAGAGATCCCTCGCTAGGGAGATCTGTCTAGGACGGGGGTTGCCATCTTTGATCTTGACTATGATGCTATTCTTGCTGCCATGTATGTTGTGTCTGTTAATGTTGAGGGTGACTGTTACCTGTGTGTTCCGCTTGACCCGGGCATTGAGACTGCTGCTCTAGGTGCTGGTGAGGCTGCTGCTCTAGGTGCTAGCGCGTCTGCTGCCCCAGGTGCTAGTGCGTCTGCTGCCCCAGGTGCTGGTGAGTCTGCTCTCTCAGGTACTACGTCGGCTCAGGCCTTACACACCTTCACCCTTGACTCGGGTGCTTCCCGCTCCTTCTCTCGCGACCGCACCACGCTTACGTCGCTTAGTTGGCCGGTTGCGGTCTCCCTGGCGGACCCCTCTGCGGGTCCTGTGTTTCCTAGCTTCTCCACTGCCTTACCGTGCCCGGCAGCCCCCTCTGGCACCCTGTCAGGTCTCTACCTCCCCTCGTTCTCTACGAAATTGGTGAGTGGAGTTGACCTACAGGATAGGGGGGTTGACCAGTTCACTCCTACGAGTCAGGGGGTGACCCACTGCACGTGTGCTCGGACAGGCCGACACTTGGCCACGTTCACTTGTCGGCCAGGGTCAAGCCTATACACACTTACTACTGAGTCTCCTCCGCCTGCTGCGTCTGGTCAGGTAGCTGCGTCGAGTCAGGTGTTTGCTACAGCGTCCAAGTCTTGTCCTGAGTCTTCTCCCTGCTCGTGTCGTCTCCTGTCCCACCAGACTCTCCTTTGGCACCACCGCCTTGGTCACCCATCCTTGCCTCGCCTCCGAGGCATGGCCTCCCGTGTCCTTGTCTCTGGTCTCCCCCGGTCTCTCCCTCCCCTACCTCCGGGGCCCGCCCCTACTTGCGTCCCCTGCGTCGAGGGGCGACGGCGCGCCGCCCCTCACTCCTCCGAGTTTCCTCCGACGGAGGCTCCGCTGCAGACTCTTCACATGGACGTGTGGGGCCCCGCCCGCGTCCGTGGACAGGGGCACGAGCGTTACTTCCTGTTGGTGGTTGACGACTACTCGCGTTACACCACAGTCTTCCCCTTGCGCAGCAAGGGCGACGTCACTGAGGTGTTGATCGACTGGATCCGTGCAGCTCGTCTTCAGCTCAGAGAGAGTTTCGGCTCAGACTTTCCTGTTCTGCGTCTACACTCTGACAGAGGCGGGGAGTTTTCCTCTGCTCGTCTGGGAGCCTTCTGTCAAGCACAGGGCATCCGCCAGACCTTCATGCTTCCGGCCTCTCCGCAGAAAAATGGGATTGCTGAGCGCCGCATTGGCATGGTCATGGACGTCGCTCGTACGTCCATGATCCATGCGGCTACCCCCCATTCTCTGTGGCCGTTTGCAGTTCAGTAGCAGCGCATCAGCTCAACCTCCAGCCACTGATCTCCTTGCCAGAGACCTCCCCCACCCTGCGGTGGACGGGGAAGGTTGGCGATGCGTCTGCGTTTCGGGTCTGGGGATCTCGGGCGTTTGTTCGCGACTTGTCTGCGGACAAGCTGTCCCCCCGTGCTGTTCCCTGCGTCTTCCTTGGCTTCCCCCCTGACGCGCCTGGTTGGCAGTTTTACCACCCCACCTCGAGCTGTGTTCTGTCCTCCTAGGACGTCACCTTTGATGAGTCGGTGCCTTACTACCGTCTCTTCCCCTCCCCCCGCCGCCGCTCTTCCTTGCGCCAGGTCCTCCCCCAGTAGACCCCCTCCCCCCTCAGGGTCCTGCCCTGTCAGGTGTGTCCCAGGTAGACGCAGTCGAGCCTCACGAGGTAGCTGTTGACTCTTGTGCTGCTAGTGGTGCTGAGCCTGCGGGTGCCGGGTCTAGAGGTGCTGAGCCTGGGGGTGCGGAGCCTGGGGGTGCTGAGTTTAGGGTTGCGGAGCCTGGGGGTGCTGAGTCTGGGGGTGCTGAGTCTGGGGGTGCTGAGCCTGGGGGTGCTGAGTCTGGGGTTGCTGAGCCTGGGGGTGCTGGGTCTGCTCGTGTGGCCTCGCGCGGTGCTTCTTCGAGGCGGGAGCCACTCTCTCCGCAGAAGCTGCGCGAGTGGTTTGCCCGGCGCTGGAGTCGTGCCGCTGGAGCTGGAGGTACTACTGTTGCTGCTGGTCCCGGAAGGGCTCGTCCTGGCGGTTCTGGAGCTGCTGGGACAGGGGGTGCTGCTGGTGCTGCTGGAGGTACTGCTGGTGCTGCTGGAGCTACCGGTCCTGCTGGAGTTGGTGCTGCTGGAGCTGGAGCTGCTGGGGGTGTTGGCGCTAGTGGTGCTGCTGGCGCTGGTGCTTCTGAGGGTGCTGGAGTTGGCGCTGTGGAGCTGGAGGTGCTGCTGGCGCTGGTGCTACTGCTGGAGGTACTGGTGCTGTTCCTGCTGGTTCTGGAGGCGCTGTGCGGCCGAGGCCGTACTTCTTTCCGCTCCTTGAGCAGGTTCTTGGTCTCCCGCCCTCTACTGGTCCTGCCCCTCCCTTAGCGTGTCCACCGCCTGTCCAATCGCAGTCACAGTTACAGCCCGCCTCCACCCTGCCTACTCCTTCTCCCTACACTCGTCCTACTGGAGGTCTTGCTGAGCGTCGCGAGCCTGCGTCTCGTCCTGCGTCGCCTGTTCGTGGTGCTCGCACTAGTGGTCGTACTGTGCGTCCGCGTCCTCCTACGGTCCCAGGCACACACCAGATGGCACTGCGTCCTTCCACTGCTCCTCTACGTGTCCCGTTGCCGTCTCCTCTAGAGTCCTCTCTTCCTGTCCTTGCTGACCCGAAGTCTGACTCTCTTCGTGCTGCCAGTCCTACTGTCACGCGTCTCCTGGCTACGGTTGTCACTGACCCTTCCTTTGAGTCCACTGCTGCGTCTTCCTTGGTTGCTGAGCTTGTCGACTTTGCTGCTCGCTGTCGTCTAGACTACGCTACTAATCTTGTTGCTGAGTCTGAGTCTGTCTGTCCTCCGTCCATCGGGGGTGAGTGTGCTCTTAGCACGGACGTCCTTGAGGACAGGCAGGAGGATTTCCAGTGTTTTGCTGCTGCTTTGCCTCATCTCGTGTCCACGCTGATTGCCCCTGAGGGAGACCCGGATGCACCAGACATCCCGACTCCTCGATCGTACGCTGAGGCGATCGAGGGTCCCTACTCCTCTCAGTGGCAGTCAGCCATGGACGCAGAGATGGCTTCCTGGAAGTCCACAGGCACCTACTTCGACGAGGTTCCCCCACTTGGGGCGAACATCGTTAGTGGCATGTGGATTTTCAGGGTGAAGCGGCCGCCGGGTTCTCCGCGTGTCTTCAACGCGCGTTACGTGGCTCGAGGCTTTAGTCAGCGGCAGGGAGTTGACTACTTTCAGACCTTCTCTCCCACCCTGAAGATGACCACTCTTCGGGTGCTGCTGCACATAGCCGCTCAGTGCGACTACGAGCTTCACTCTCTTGACTTCAGCACAGCTTTTCTGCAGGGCAGCCTGCACGAGGAGATCTGGCTGCGTCGCCCACCTGGCTTCACTGGTCCGTTTCCTCCTGGTACCCAGTGGAGCCTCCGGCAGCCAGTCTACAGTCTCCGCCAGGCGCCCCGTGAGTGGCACGACACACTGACGACTACACTTGCGGCTCTTGGGTTTGCTCCTTCTACAGCCGACCCATCACTGTTTTTGCGCACCGGCACCTCTTTGCCGCCGTTCTACATCCTCGTGTACGTCGACGACTTGGTCTTTGCCACTGCTGACACTGCTGGACTCGCCCACGTGAAGTCCGAGCTGCAAAAGAGACCCACGTGCACAGACCTGGGTGAACTGCGCAGGTATCTTGGCTTGCAGATCACCCGGGACAGAGCACAGCGCACCATTACCCTGACTCAGTCACACATGGTGCAGCAGGTCCTTCAGCGCTTCGGCTTCACGTACTCCTCGCCTCAGGCCACTCCTCTGTGTACTCACCACTCGCTCTCAGCTCTACCTTCGGATGAGTTCGTAGAGCCGAGTGGCCCATACCCAGAGCTTGTTGGCTGCCTCATGTACCTGATGACCTGCACACGACCTGACCTTGCATACCCTCTTAGCATTCTTGCACGCTATGTTGCTCCTGGGAGACACCGACCAGAGCACATGGCTGCAGCGAAGAGGGTGTTGCGCTACTTGTGCAGTACGTTGGGCATGGGGCTAGTGCTTGGAGGGCGCAGTCCAGTGGTCCTCACTGGGCACGCGGACGCTTCTTGGGCTGATGACCAGGCTACGCACCGTTCGTCACAGGGTTACACCTTCAGCCTTGGTTCCGGCTCTGTTTCGTGGCGGGCTACTCGCTCGTCTTCTGTTCTCGGTTCCAGTTTTGAGGCTGAGATCTACGCCGGGGCCATGGCTGCACAGGAGCTGCACTGGCTCACCTACCTGGTGACTGACCTAGGAGAGCCGCCTCGTTCTCCTCCAGTCCTGTACGTAGACAACAAGGCCATGCTGGCCTTGTGTCGGGAGCACAGACTGGAGCACAGAACGAAGTACATTGCTCTCCGCTACTTCCTGGCTCGTGAGCTGCAGCAGCGTGGTCAGCTCCGCCTCACCTACGTGGCCTCTGAGGCCAACACTGCAGATATGTTCACCAAGGGCCTTCCGCCTTGTGATCATCAGCGCTTCTGTACTTTGCTAGGTCTTGTGCCTACCTGGCCTCACTTGCTCACTTCTTGATCTTGTTTGTACTGTACTCTTTCTATACCTGCACTTGCTTGTTTACCTTTATATATATGACTTGCATGTGAACTGGCCTTGTGGCCTTACTCTTGTGCTCGGACTGTGTGGTGACTTTGTGATCCACCCTGAGCTTGCTTTGCTTTGCTTGAT